CATGCCAGGGTCACGCCCTCCCTGTAGCATCACTTACCCAGGGGCCGTGCCATCCCTAGTCATTGATGTGAGGAACCACAATCACATCACAATCCACAAAATCTCTTGCAATTAACCCTATGCCAGGGCTTCCATATTTGACATAAGTGATACGTGTTAATCGTCTTACTCATCCCACACCATACCAGGGTCACGCCCTCCCTGTAGCATCACTTACCCAGGGGCCGTGCCATCCATAGTCATTGATGTGAGGAACCACAATAACATCACAATCCACAAAATCTCTTGCAATTAACCCTATGCCAGGGCTACCATATTCGACATAAGTGATACGTGATAATCGTCTTACTCATCCCACACCATGCCAAGGTCACGCCCTCCCGGTAGCATCACTTACCCAGGGGCCGTGCCATCCATAGTCATTGATGTGAGGCACCACAATCACAATCATAATCACATCCATACAACATCTCATTTCATAGCTCAACTTCATATCACATACATAATTCCATATACACAACAGATAAGTCTAAGAAAATAAGGGTTTACACACCCCTAAAGCAATTCACATCTAGATTATCAATTTTTAACAAGTAATATAACAATAACATTCATAAATTAATATAATAATCAACGGAATTACCAATTTAATATAATTTCAACATAACGGTAAAACCCCCAATTGTTCCAAAACCTAGCTCACAGACACTTTTCTACGGTTTCGTTCTCCCTCTCAGATCATCATTCTTACAAATTAAATATATATTTCTAATCCTCAACACAAACAGAATCTAATGGGATCATCAATTCCTCAAACAGAAATAATCCAATTTTTCCAAAACTTAATAACCTCATATGATAAGAGGTATCAAGACAATGTTGTAAAAAAAATATCTAAGTTTCCACTATGAAATAGAATCACAAAATTTCTAAATTAGTAATCTTCATCATACACAATAAGTGGTCTCAAAAAACAATTCATTGGAATTAAGTTACCTCTTCAGTAATTTTAGGCAGAAGTTGCAACCATTTCTCCTCAAACTTTGCCAACAAAGTTTTTGCCATCACATGAACATCACTTTTTTCGTCATTATATTTCATAGCATTCTTGAAAACCAACCTCACATCAACACATATTTCCCGAACATGTTTATATCCCGTACCATCTTTAGCCTCCATTTGATTCTTAATGGTAAAGAAATCCATGGGCTTGTCAATGACCTATCAAGCAACATGTACAACAGTTCAATCAAAGCATGGAAAGAGAAATATATGGAAAACCAGATTCCACAAACACACTACTGAATGAAAGAATCAATCACAAGAATACTTGTATTTCAAAATATGATGAGGGATAGTATTTGTTTATTTTAGAGAAAAGCGAAAGAATTACATTTCTATAATCTTAGAGATTATGTACATATTGTAATTAGGGATATTATAAGCTACATTATTTTTTGTATCTATGACTAAATAAATAAGAGCCTCTTCTATGTAAATTAGACACAGGGAACTCATCAATTGCCTCTCATTTTCTGCCTCTCTTAACAAGTATCTAGCGCTTGATGAGAGGTAACCCTACTCCATGAACATCACTGTAGTCAGGCTAGCGAGTTAAGTCATAGGATCATAATATCCTATGAGTTAAGCCACAACTTCTGTGCTGAATCACTCGTGGGATTGCTGATGAATGGGATTAAAATAGAATTGCAAGTATAATTGTGAGATCATTGATCCACAGCAAGGCAAGCAGAACTGAATTTCCGGGTCTGGTCACTTTTTGACACGGATTAAAAAGCCCCAAATTCCATTTTATCATTCATACGTGACTCAATCTCCTTTGCTTCTCACTTCATTTGCAACCCGAAGTTGTTTCCACTGCTGCCAACTGCAACTGCCGCACTACCCTGTGCCACCACCACTTTCACCTCTTTTTTGAATCTACAGAGTCTTAACTTTGAACAACTGGTTAACAACTATTCTACTTATGTTTTGTGAATGTATTATGAACTTATGTGTTGTGACTTAAGAAATTATGTTGAATTGTATATTTTGTTACGTATTATATTTGGAATTTATAACTCATTATGAATATAATTTTTCAATTTAAGTGTTTAATGTTGTGATTTAGAGGTTATTTTCGTCATTTATGTATATCTTTTTATGCAAAGTAGATACATAACTATAATTTTGCATTTAAGGGTGATCTTTCGATCCCTAAGAGTTTTGACACCCTTCTAGATCCTATCTAGAATTATGAGGTTAACAACATTGTGAACTCCCACTGAACCTTATCCCTATCCATTGGTGAAATTTTCTAACATAAAGTGTGTTTTCTGACTTTCTCTCCAATCTATAGTAGTGTTTCTACTATTGGCCACCTTTTTCTCTCATTTTCCTATGTCCCAAACACAGTTCCTTCCTGGCAACCACATTTCTGACATGTTTTTCAGTGACCACCTGCCAGATCAAGTGCATTCCCAAGACTGGAAAGGCACTAAAGTTTCACTGCCATCAAAGCAGTGACATGCCTGCACAAACAACAAATGTATATCACATTTCTCTCTCCTCACTACAGCTCCACTGCACAGCCATGTGCGCCACCATTTCTGGTTACTGTCACCACCACTCAACAGATCCTAAGCTCGTGCCCGATCAAGGCTCTCTTTGTCCATTTGGGGTATTGTGATTCACCTTTTGGCCCTTTTTGGCACAGTTCATAGCCTTTTCTCTCTCGTTTCCGTTGACCCATGGTGAATTCTATCCGTCCCAAGGTTGATGCCTCCATTTTCACCATGTTTCTGCTCTCTCTTCGTTAACAAGTTGGATAGGAGCAACTAAGATTATTGGGCCTCTGACATCAATTTTTGGCTTAGAGGCCAAGGTCATGTTGACCGATGTGCAACAAAGGAGGGATTTGTGGCTGTGGAAGACTGTTCTAAGTCGAGTAGGATTGATGTCAGTTTGTGGTCCAGCTTGAGGAGTGTTAAAGATTATGTAAACATATTAGAACTTATGCAAATATAGTAATTAGAATTTTGTAAATAAGGCTACCTATTATTTTTCTATTTATGAATCATCATAAATAAGAGGCTCTATTGTATAAATCAAACACACAATTTATCAAATGTCTCTCATTCTCTCTCTTAACATACCTTACACAACAAAATATAAGAAAACCTCAACATAAAAAAAAAAAAAAAAAAAAAAATGAATATATTAATCATACCTCGTAATAATCATGTAAACCAAGGCCCTCTACATCCACAGGCTGCATAAAAGGCCAAGCCCACTTGTGTTGCGTGATCTGGCGGAAGAACAATTATTAAAGAACTAATTTTGTAATTTTAGAAGAGACAAAATCTGAAGTCTAAACTACTCAATCTACAAAGATTACATAACAGAGGGAATTGCAAGTAATCAAACAACATGACATCACCAAACGAAATATAACAATAGTTTGCGTAGATTGTTTTGTGAACAGGATTCTTCCTATATAATAGAAGCATTAAATGAAAGTTGGTTCTAGCAAATGATCCAAGATAGGGGGGCACAATAAGTTACTCAACTTTATCAGTAAAAATCAACATAACTAGGTCAACAAGCCATTGAAGGTGAATTGCTGATTTCTCTATCCATCTTTGAAAAATTTGTTGATTCTTTTAAAAAAAAAAATAGCTCAAAAGTTGGCCCATTTTTCAAATACAGTAAAATACTACATAAACAAAAGCCTCAATACAAATATTCAACTATTTGCAATCATAATCAACTAGAACTTAATAAGAACCTTGGGAGAACCACACCACAAAAGCTAGCTCATGTAGTTGGAAAGCTTAAGGCCTTATAAACCATACACTAAAATCCCATACTTCCACTGTGGGACTCAAGTCCCATACCATGGAATGGGATCCTAACATCACACCACGCTCCACAACCCCGACACCCATGTAGACTGGTTGTGCACAAGCCCCTTTGACTAGTCCCAAGCAAACACTACAATACTGGCATCACCACCTGCGTCGCTCAGTTGCAGTTGGAAGACATGGTGGAAGGTGTTGATACCTATTGATAATAACCGATGGACCATGGTCCAAGGGCTCAATTACTCGAACTATGGCTAGGAGCACACAGGTGGTTTTGCTATCCCTATTAATTGGTTCCTTGATTTTTTGTAATTAGTATTTTGGTTATGAATATATGGATATAGGTGTTTGGTGAAATGACTTAAATAAAATTTATGTTTTATAGTTTTATTTGATTGATTCTATTGTGTTTGTTAGTAACTTGGCTTCTTAGGCACCATTTGGACCACTATTAGCACAAAAATTGCCATCAGCATAGACAACAACATATAGTATATATTATTAAAAAAAATAAAAATTACCTTATTAATTAATAATTTAAGCTAAGTTTGTTAAAAATTAATTAGTTAATATAAATTATGATAGAACTTATAATTGGTCTATATTATATCTTAATGACTAATTTTGAAAAAATTACTAATGTAGAGATATATCCTATAACTAATTTTCTCTATCCTAATAACTATTCAAATCATGTAATTGATTATAGTATAAAGTAATCTATTAAATCGTTTTTTCCATTGTACAAAGAAACGCTTCAGATTACATATCAATACAAAACTTGTTTTGTCTAACAACAAATAGTAAGGAAGAAAATTTGGTTTTTCAGGATAATAACATCCTTTAGAGCATAGAGAGCAAAACTAGATTGAGAACTTAAACTTGACTTTTTACTTTACTTCACCTGAAAACCATATTGAGAGCAATAACCAACTTACAACCAAATTATTATTATTTTTTTTAATTTGTTTGAAATGAAATTTAAATTGAAATGAAATGATCGCTACTACAAAAAAGATCTTTAATAGCATTTAAATATGGTCTTTAACAACACTTTTGTAAGCTATCAATGTCCGTGCTATTAAAGGGAGTCAACCTTTAACAGCATACTAAAAGTGTTATTATAGGACATAAATAGATAACGTTTGTAATGAATAAGTGTTATTGTATAACCCTTTTAGACAACACTTATTTTATAAAAGTGCTATTATAAGCCATTTTTTTAACAACACTTGTTTTAAATAAATGTTGTCGTAGGATTCATTTAGGTAGCACTTGTAATAAACAAATGTTGTCATAGAATCCCTTTTTGGTCAAAACCCTCAATGGGTAACCCTTTCTGAGATGTCTGTCTACTTTTAGGATCAACGACTGACCCACAAATTAACACAAGACTTTTCAGCATGCTTTGTCCTCACTCGCACACTTTTTAGGAAACCTCCCAAAATGTTACTCATCCCTAAATTACCTCAAATCAAGCATGGTTAACTATGGAGATTTTATGAGATAAGCTACTGAAAAGTAGCTACATCTTGTTGATATAGATAGTACAAATTAATTTTTTAAGTCATCCTCAACTATACAAATCTCATACTTGTATAATCTCTGGATAAATATTTTTAATTATCTTTTATCTAATATATTTATCTTTGGATAAATATTAATATATAACTTATTATATTTATGAAATATTTAATTTATCTATAAATTTATTAATAATAATATTGATATTAATTTATGGATAAGGATAACATATACCTATAACAATAATAATATGTGTAAATTTTATTTATTTAGTAATGAAAATTATATATCATTTGACATGAATGAAAATTATAATATATGTAATATAAATATGTCAACAATTGAATAATTTCAAAATATTATATATATATATAATAAAATTTAAATTATTAGAATTTTAGTGGGAGCTGGAGACTTAAATCTTACAATTGCAAAATTTGATGGATTAAAATTTAGGGAACTGAAATCATACAATTACAATGTTTGAAGAACTAAAATTGCTTAATTAAAACTTTGGTCATTAAAATCGAATAATCACAATATTTAAGGGAACAAAAATGTAATTAAACCTTTTTGAAAATTGAACACTACTTATTATTGAAAATAATATAAAAGACTCATACTATATCACCATTTTTTTTATTGATGTTTATTATTATTTTTTTAAAAAGTGGACAACTTGTTATTAAAAGTGCTATCAAATATCATTTTTATAACATCACTTTTTATTGAAGGTGCCGCCTATTATTATTTTTAAAAAGTGGACATCACTTATTTTTAAAAATGCTATCAAAGAATCATTCTATAACACCATTTTTTTATTGAAGACGCTGTCTATTATTATTTAAAAAAAAGTGGACAACACTTATTTTTAAAACTACTATCAAAGACCTATTCTATATCATCACTTCTTTATTAAAATATTGTTAAATATAACTCAAACCATAATAATATCATTTTTATCTTAACAGTACTATCTGATGTATGTTGTTATATGTCTATTTTGTAGCAGTGGATATTCAACATGAACAAATAACCCTTATAGTCTTTGTTTTTACCTTCCTATACTTTTTTGATAATTTCCCCTAAACTTATTTAAAAACATATGACCATGATTTTTTCTGTCTTAGCTCTAAGTGAGGTGGTAAAATGTTTTTTCCATTATGGTTCAAGGTTCCAAGAATGAAGATAAATTCTTTTAGGGCCTAGGTTTGAACAAAGATTTTAATTTTCAAAAAAAGGTTGGCTATTTGACTTAAACAATTATAAAGGTTAAAGAAAAATCACCTGATGGAAACCTTAGGAGAGATTAGATTGATGTAACTTTTCCTTCAAGTTTCTTGGAAGGATCTTTCACTTAGACTCCTTCAAGCTCTTTCAATAACTTCCATTGATGTTAGAAGACATCTCTAACACATAAGAGAATGTAAAAATTCCTTAGGTGACGCCACACTCTTGAAGAGTGATAAGTCTCTTCAATTTCTCACCACACTCAAGAGAAGATAAGAGTAAATGAAGAACTTTAAAAAGAGAAACAAGATTTGAATGAGAATTTGGAGAGGTAGTTTCGTCCAAATCATGCATAAATCTCAAAGTTAGTACAAAATGGGCAAAATGATACAATATATATAGAGTTTAGTTGGCTTATGGTGTAAGCTAGATTAGTCATGGTTAAATGTAAGCATAGTTAGCTATCTTGTACTTAAGCTAACCACTACAAAAAAAAGTCAATTTAGCCACCGAAATTAGCGACCGATTTTTTTCCATCGCTAATAGCGACATAATTAGCGACCGAATCTGATTTGGTTCAAAATACTAAAAAGGCTAAGAAAACTAAGTCTAATACCTTTACGGTGTGGGATCATTATAAAAAGGTTGGACTACTTGATGAGATGGATAAATGTAAATATAATAGTTGTTGAAAATTGTATACATGTAAAACTATTAGGTGTTTCATGACATATATAGTATCAATTAATCATGTTATAATTTATATTTTTTTCATAGTAAAAAATAGATTTAATATTTTTAAATGTACTTTTTTCAATTAGGCCAATTTGACCCGATGGTTCGACATGGGTTAGGTTGGAACAAAAAATGATAGCCCAAAAATAATATAGGCTAAGTTAGCCTAGCTTAAAATAACATTTGGCCTATATAGGTTAGGTTGGATTAGACTGACCTGACCTATATTACACCTCTAGTGGATGGTTATTAAGCTAGTGGATGATTATTTGCTTCCTACATATATGTTATTACAATGTACACCTATAGTAACTCTTGCTTTTCGAAAATACCCTTATCTCAATCAACCTATACACTCATTCTCCTTCCTTTTTCTCATTATATTAATTTTGTAAAAATAACCCTAAACCCACACCCTTCTCCCACACCAATGGTCACAAACCTTTATCTCTATTCTATTTTTGTTGCTTGATTTATCGTTATTGCTACTACTTCATCCATCACTACTTCATCGTTAGTGAATAGGTAAGTTTCTGTTCTCTAAGTTTTTTTTTTTTTCATTTTTTTGTGGGTCGTTCTAGATTGATCAATTTGAATGGTAAAGTATTGATCTAGATTGACTAATCTAGATCAATTATGCTAGATATAGATCAAAGTTCACCTTCTAGATTGATCAATCTGTATACATGTCTTAGATCAATGATGTTCGTCTAAATTACCCAAGTTGGATACATTTTTGCAATCCTGACTAGGTAATCTAGACTGTCACCTTTAACTAAGAAACGCATTTAGATTACTCGATCTAGATTCACTTTTTGTAATCTGAATTGGATAATGCAAATGGAACTTTCTAGATCTGCTTATGCAAACTACCTTATCTAGATTGCAAAAGTGTATTAAGATTAGGTAATTCAAATTGTTGAAATTGTATTCACTTATTTTAAGAGTTGTTTTATGATCTTGGCATATTATTTTTTTTAATGAAATTATGAACATGGCACATATTAGAGGTAGTGGCTCACATA